GCCACCACTGTCGGGTGCTGCTGGGAGTGGTGCTGACCCAAGGCGCTCCCAGGCTGGGGCCTCTGGTCCTTATGAGGGGTGCTCTGGAAGCCATCTGCGCCTCTCGGGAAAGCTGGGAGCACTGCCGCTGCTACGGAGGAGAAATTACTCCGACGGAAAGACCCTATATGATAATATCTTTCCCTTGCCTGAGGATCTCCTCTTGCCCACTCCTCCTACACCCTCCTGCCTGCTCCTCTCCCTCTTGCCTCATCCTCCTGCCTCCTCCCCATATCTGCCTCCTACTCCTCCCCATGCCTCCTCCTGCCTCCTGCCTCCTGCCTCTTGCATCCTCCTGACTGATGCTGCTACTGCTGTTCCTCCTCCTACATTTCTTCCATGTCCTCCTCCTCCTCCTCCTCCTCCTCCTGCTCGTCCTCGTCCTCGCCCTAGTCCTCGTCGCCCTCGTCATCATCGTCCTTCTCCTCCGTCTCCTCCTGCTCCTCCTCCTCGTTTTCCTGCTCCTGCCTCCTGCTCATCCACATCCGCATCCTCCCTCCTCCTCTCTCCTCCTCCTCCTCCCCTTTTTCCTCCTCCTCCTCCTCCTCCTCCTCCTCCTCCTCCTCCTCCTACTCCTCATCCTCCTCCTCCTTCTCCTCCTTCCCCCCTCCTCCTCCTCCTCCTCCTCCTCCTCCTCCGCCTCCTCCTCCTCATCCTCCTCGGGCCTCCTCTTTTTCTTCTTCTTCTTCTCCTTCTTCACCTTTTATCATTATTCTACTGTTTCTTCTTCCTCCTCCTCCTCCTCCTCCTCCTCGGGCCTCCTCTTACTCCAACTTGGGCCTCCTGCCTCCTCCTGGGGCCTCCTGGAGCCTCCTGGAGCTTCCCGGGGCGTCCTGGAGCCTTCTGGTGCCTCCCAGGGCCTCGTGGGGCACTCTTCCTCTTCCTGCTCATCCATCCTCCTCGTCAGACTTTGTCGCGGTTCGCTCACTGATCAGGTTCCCGCTCGAGACATCCTCTAGATTCGAGCCTGGTGGGTCAACAAGTGAACCAGTGACAACATGTGGATGGAAGTGGGTACCCTATAGGGAAGGAATATTCAAGCGGAAGAGCCCAGGTACCAACATGAAGTGCGGGCCCCAAAGGGAGGGACGCCCCCGCTCGAGACATCCTCACGATTTGCCCCCTTGTTGTGATCGAGTGGTTTGCCTGCTACACTACGTCGATGACACGATCGGATTACAAACATGATCTGTGGGGCCCAAAACGAGGGCGCTCCCGCCTGAGCCTTCCTCGCAGTTCACTCACAGACGAGGCCCCCGCTCAAAGCATCCTCAGGATTTGCCCCCTTGGGGTTGCTCAAGTGCCATGCCTGGTGGAGTTTTCTGATGACCCGTTAGAACTGCCAACATGAAGCGTGAGCCTCATAAGGAAGGATCTCCCGCTCGAGACTTCCCTCAATGTGGATACGTGAGTGTGCATGTGTATGATTATGATGATTATGATGGTGATGATGATGATGCTAATGAGTGGTGATGGTGCGTGGTGATGGTGATGCTTAAGACGAGAGAGAGAAGGATGAGTGGTGGTGGGAAGTGAATGCGTGAGAATGATGAGTGGGTGCATGCTGATAGTGGCGATGATGACGCTGACGATTGTTGGTTTGTTGGAGGACTACCCTGATGCGCTTAATGACCGCTCGATTTCTGAACGTCCTTGCACGGGATTGCTCGCGCCCGTCCTCTCGCCGTCTCCCTCTGAAACAGCACCCAAAAAAGATGAACCGCTAGTCCATCGACCGCGCGAACGGCCCTGGCTGCCGCCTCTAGGGGTGGCCGGCGTCCCTCAAGGAGCCACAACCCGACACTGCACAGGAGGGGGCTAGGACTAGGAAGGAAAGAAAAACACCGCTGCTTGCGTCCGCCACACACGGGCCAGAAATCGGTGAGCACAAACTGGCACAGCTGAGCTCGCAACTTACTTGCAGACGAGAGCGCGAAGGGACCGCGATGATGCCTGGCACACAGCGACCGCAAGTAAAACAGGAAACGGGACTCACACCGCCTCACCTGCATCACTACAAACACATGTACCCGATCATCCTCCAAAGAACGCAAATGCTTAAAAACAGCGCCAGTACTTCATTGCGGATCATATATCGCAAGCAGGTGGCTTTCGCGAAGGCCTGGAGGCCCCGAAACTCGATAGGCAAGTGCACCTGCTTGAGCCACGTGCAAAACGAATGGGAGAACGCATCTGGGCCCAGCCGTGAGGAACATGACCGGCTCCTGAAAACACTTCAGAAGCTCCTGGGAAATCGGGTGGACCTGAATGACAAAGCCCAGAACCGAAACACACGACCCGAAACGCCACAGCAGCCTTCGTCAGCCCCAGCCCCAGTTGCCGAATGATTCCCGCACGAGTCCTGAATTTCGGAAGCACCTCGTCTCACCATGCACCGCGGAAGGCCATGCGATCCACGAAGATGCCGAGATAGCTCGCACTGTCCAAGACTAGGAACTGCTGAAAGCCGCCACGGAGCACACGGACAGAGCGGGGCACAAGTTCGAACTCTAGATTACCAGCGACCAGAAGAGAGATACCAGCTACACGTTCAAGTTTCAATGGCGTGAAGGACAGGGCCCAGGGAGGTAAACGTGTCCAAAATCCCGAAACAGAGATCGCTGGCATAAGCAAATGCCAGATCGCCCTGGCCGCCGCCCACCTCAAAAGCGGATCCGCCGCAAGCGCGAACAGAAGCGCGCTGCTAGGACATCCTTGCTTCGCACCTCTACCCATGACGATCGTGCCGCGCCTCCTCCCGCCCAAAGCAATCGCGGCCGATTGTTCTTGATCTACCAGAGCACAACAAGCCCGCCACTGCGGGCGGCGCCCCCATGCAGCTGCGGATGCGAAGAAGCCGCGGGCTCGCTGAAGACGGGAATGCAAAACAGAAATCCGCGAAGAGAACGCAGGCATTCGCGGTCGCGTTTGCTATCGCATGCTGCTCAAGAGGCCAGGCTTCGGCATCAATGATATCCGTGACCGTGTCGCGATGCTTCATGCACTTCTGATCTGTAGAGACAATCCTAGCTCGTTCTCCGCGAAGGGGGTGGACGCGGCGCTGGCCAAGAACTGGATGTCGGCGTGGGGCATGCTGCGCGGGCGGGTATCTTCTGGACCTCTGGAGACAGAGGGGCCGTTATCTCTCGAGTCGGAGCCCCCGGGGAGGAACGCCAGAAGTCTGCGGCGCATCCCAGGGGCAAGGATTGGATATCTTCGCTCAGAACCACGGGCAGATATCATAAGGGGCGCGAGAGGCGCCAGGGACTTTCCAAGCGCCGCGCCGAACGCCGTTAGCACCAGGCACACTGTGGAAACCCGTTCTTATATATATATATATATATAAACCAAAAAAAAAAAACGAGACAGAGCACGGAAGCTGCCACTCTGTTGGCAATTGCTCAGGTACCTTCTGGACATGTTCGGATGCCTCAGACACTTGGGGCCAGTGCTCTTGAGGACCCGGGCAGGACGTTCAAGCGACGAACAGAGATCGCCATTAGATGCATGTACACATGTCACATACGCACGACTTCTGAAGCGCCCCCAAAGTCCCCGGCGCCTCTGCGCACCGGCCTCTGCCGGGGCCTCTGAGGCCCCCATGTCGAGTGGCTCCTGATCTAGCAGCCGCATCTGATGAGCACGCGAAGCCCCGAGACATTTGAACAGAAAAAGTGTGCCATGTCAATGTGGCGCTGCAGGGTCGGGCAGCACTTGGGCGCGCCCATCGCCGACTAGGACTTTCGAGCCAGCCCCGCAGCGCGTGCGTTGTCCAATGGCGCTTCGGTTCTAGAGCGTCTGCTGGGCACGTCTCGCTGCGTTCTTTCACCTGCATGGCAGCCGCAAACATGCGGCCCCCAATGGTCTCGAGACGAACCAAGGGCGCGCGCGCCTGCCAATCGATGCCAAGCTCTGAGATCAGCTTCTCTGCGCGGATGGCAAACTCTGGACGCGCGCAGACGCGCTCGGGGATGGGCGGGAATTCGGAATTAGGGGTGCGCGGGGGGAAACTCGCAACGGCAGGGATGTATTCGCTCGGAGACTTAGGCGGGAGTTTGCAGCTGCACTACGTCGGATATCGCAATCTCTCAGGATGGCCCGCGGCAAGGAGGCGCGGTTCCTATCGGGCCTGGAAGCGCGAGATATGCCCCATCTCCCAACTCCCTTCTCGCGTCGCACCCCTGATTCGCTTCCGTTGCATGCGGAGAGGGGCGATGAAGAAGCGAAGATTGAGCCCGATCACCCTGGGCCCACCCGCTGTCGCCCCCCCCCCCACCCCCCATCCCCCTAAAGGGCTGAACTGACGTCGCCGAGGAGAATCCTGCGAGAGTTGGGTTCGGCATCGCACGCAGAACGCGCAGCGCGCATCACTTGGGAGAGAGCGTCGCCTCGCGCTCGGCAAGTGCACGCCAGAGATCGCGAGCTCAACACTCGGACCTGGACAGGAGGTCTCCAGGACACGCCCCAAGACAAGCTCCGATTGGGCACCGGCGAGGAAATCATTGAAAACCTTGATGCCCCAAGACGGCAACGGCCCCACCTTCCCCCTGCGAAACATCAGACATGAAGCAACCGATGTCGCGCCCAAGACGGGGCCCACCCCGCCCCCTGCGGAGCTCCAATCTCTACAATATGGCAATGAGTTCCCCGACAGCAAACAATCTGGAACATGCCTGCGAGGGGGGGGGGGGGCTGGCACCCTGCGCCGGCCCCCCAAAAGCCATTCCGCACCGCGCTGAGGAGACCGCGAAAATTCCAAATGCACGGCGCGAGAGGCGAAGAAGGAGCAAATGGAAGATCATTGGGGGGGGGGACTGTAAACGCCACTTTCGCGCATGGGAGGGTTGAAAGACTGAGCCGGGCCAGTCGGGCGCGGCGCTCGAGCGGGCGGCCGGCCTGCCAGCTGCAACGGACAGTCCGCTTCATCGCCGATAAGGCGAAGGAAGCTGCGCGAAGGCTGCCTCGCGGCGCGCTGCGGCGCACTGGTCGATGCCAAACTCCTCGGGGCCGCCAGGGTCCGTGGCCATCTCCGCGACGGGAAAAGGGTCGCGCTCGGCGCGAAGCACAAAGATGCCCCCGCCAAGGCCGTCGCTGTTCACCTCGAAGCCGCGCGACTTCAGCAAGTCGTTCATCTTGGCCCTGACCTTCCCCATGGAGAAGAAATGGCTGTCTGCTCTTCAAACCGCGATCGCGAAGGGGGGCCGTAGATAGGGGATCACTGTCCTGAAACACCCCATCCGCTTCAAACGGCGTGAGGTAGTTACTGGCGTCTGTGGCCGTCTGAAAGTGGAGGGTGACCTTGCGCGTGATATCGATTTCCCTGATCGTGATGCTGGCGTGCTTGGCAGTCGGCGCGCAGCGGGAACTGACGGCCTCTTTAACCGCTCGTGGCGCACTCGCCAGCATCCGCGGAAGAATTCCAAGAATCAGCAGCTTCGTCGTGTTGTCCTGGAGCAGCTTCGTGACTTGTGAGGCCCCCGAGGAACGTGAGCTCGCATCCGACGGAAGACGTGGCAACTGGTCGAGCTTGGTCTCGATGTCCTGAATCTTCTGCTTCGCCGAGGAAGTCGCTTCATTAACTATCGATATCCATGGAGTCTCGGGGAGACGGCGAAGTTTCAAACGCGACTCGGTCATGGAGCTCCTTGCAGGTCTCATCCAGATCCAGGGAAAGCTGCCGCGTGCTCCCCTTCAAGCTGAAACAAAAAAGAGCGGATATCATCGTCCATCGCTGCCATGTTTGTGGCGAGCTGATCACATCGTAGCCGGGTCGCGCCCATCTGGGTCCTGATCCTCGAAATGTCCGTGGCCGACTCTGCGACCTAACTGGACAAACCTTGCAATAACGTAGTAATGATACCGAACTTGTCGCAAGGCGTCTCTGAACGGCGGCCGCGAACACGATCATACCAACGCTTGGAACGCGACGGGGAGAAACTTGGGCTACTGCTTGCCGAACGCGACCGAGGCTTAGCTCTGCGGCGGCGATCTTCGTGGCGCTCCCCGCGCGCTGGCATCGCCGCAGCCGAAGGTTTTCAGGAAGGAAGGAACGGAGAACTGTGAAGGTCAGGTCGCTGCTTCTGGAAGGCACCGCGAGGCTCCCCGTCGGCAGCGGCAAGTCCCGCGCCCGAGGGCACAGGTTTGGAACTTGAGCCAGAATGGCTTAGCCTAAATGGCTACGGGGATGGTGATGATGATTATGGTGATGCGGGTGTTGGTGATAATGGAAATGACAATGATAATGATGACGATGACGATAACGATGATGATGGTGATGCTGGTGGTGGTGGTGATCATGAAGTGTGTGCGTGTGGGTTGGTGTGTTCTTGCGCGGGGTGTCCACGTGGGTATGATGCTGATGACGATGGCGATGATGACGATGATGCTGCTGATGATGATGGTCATTGTGATAATGATGATGCTGATGCAGCTGAATGTTATGATGAGTATGATGGTTATGATGGTGATGATGCTGTTGGTGGCGGTGGTGATGATGACGTGTGTGCGTGTGGGTGGGTGTTCTTGCGCGTGGGGCCCACGTGGGGATAATGTTGATGATGATGCTGCTGATGATGATGGTGATAATGATGATGAGACGGGTTAAGATACTAAGTCTGATGATGGTGGTGGTGAGGATGATGGTTATAATGATGATGCTGAGTGCGAAAGAGGAGGAGGAAGAAGAGATCCTGCGCGGGGGGGGGTGAGGAGAAAACAAGAATCCCACTTTGAATGACGACCAAGGCTGAACGCGGAAACGTAGGTGTCGATCTTGGTCACCGTGCACCTTGGTCACCGTCGATTCGCGTATCCTCCTCGCGCAAAGGCGACGGCCGACATGGACCATGGCAAGCGATCGGCAAATCCCGCGACGTCTTGGTCATGAAAAACGAAGCCAGGACGAGGATCCATTCGGGTGAGGATACATCGAGCATCTCTGAGATCCAGCGGTTCTGGAGGACGTCTCGGTCTCCGCGGCCTTCTCGGAGCGTTCCAGACCGCTCTGGGGGCGCTCTGGAACGCCCTGGAACGGACTCATCCTCGCCCTGGCCACGCCCTCGCCACCTCGACTCTGGGGCGCGATCCCGCGAACACGCTGCCGCAAGGATATACGATGCGTGCGGGGCGCCAGGGAAAAAACACCCCGCATCTGCGGGCCCGCGAGGCCGTGGGCACGGAGCGGGATATGGCCACATCCGCCGCCTGGCGAGCCGACGTCCTGGGCCCCTAGCAGGCGGGGGATATTGGCATGTTTTGCCTGGGAGCCCGAGCATGTCCATATCCACCGCCTGCCAGGGTCACCGAAGACCGATCCCGCAGGCGGTCGCTAGGGATGGACCCCCCGCTTCGGAGTGGATTTGGACCGAAACATGCGAAAGTCCTGATGCTTGTCCGTACGCACTCCTCGGAAGTCTCGACCATTCCCCCAACGCCGGCGAGCCACCCCGAGCCGCGTCCTGA